CTTTTGCAATGCTCATTATCAGAGAAGCTTTAAATTGAAAAACAATTCCGATCTCTCTACTTTCATCTGCATTAGACAACTCGAGGCAAATGATTTAATTAGTGAAATTCCCTAAAAAAATGTACTATTTCCTAAACATTACTTCTTTTCTGATGAAAGAGTCATAAGCTCAGAAGACCAGTATCAAAATAGCTGAGGAGGGCACTATAGGATGTATTTAAAAAGAAATACTATAATAAAGAACTTCGATTATGGTATTAAAATATGGTGTTTCCATAATTAGATTTAATTTTTTTAAATTTATATCTCATTTTCCCCTAAAATAGATATCAGAGCCACCAAAGAAATATACGCTATGATCAATTAAAAAAATATAACTAGGACTTCAGATAAACTTTGGCTCTGAACTTGCTGGCAGTGGGCACAAAAGTAAACAAATTTAGTTGCATTGTTCTAGTAAAGAGAAAACAAAAAACATTCTATTTCCATAGGAGAAGCACTTTTTTTCTTGTATGACATTCTAAAAGAAGTTTCTGAAATAAGGTAATATACTATGGACATTTAGTAGCCTCATGGACAACATCCTTAACAAAATATAAAAATGTCATAGACCTATTTCTTCAAACATAGTTAATCACATGATATTTAAAAAGTAAGTAAACAAGTAATTTTCAAGACGCTAAATTTATTGAATTCAAATATCTAGGCTACCTGATCTATCTTGGTAGAGTGGCACAATTTGAGATACAGTAGGAATTATGGGCTGCAAGTGTCTTACAATGGCTCCCCGAAATACGAGTTTTATAAAAAATACAGGTAAACATGTGCAGCATGGTGAAACAGTCTCTAACAATATAAGCTCAGAACACAAAAAGAGAAATCACATCACATAACACAGACTATACTTAGGCATGGACCAATCCCACCTTGTTCATAAAGTTTTGCTTTTATGATCTTATCTGTTATACATGCTCTTTAAGATCAGAACATCTTGAAGAAACACTTTTTTTTTTCTAGAACAATCAACAGATATTCTTTAGAAAACTAGTTAAGTAATTTGAGAGTCAAAGCTGCACAAGTGAATCAGTAACAATTGGATATATTTGTCAAAGGATTAATTTAATGGCTGCTTAACTCATTCACTGGGTTCTAAAAATTTAATGAAAATTAAAACCGTACTCTGGATCAAACTTATGAGATTTTTCATAAAACATGACCTTTGATATTCAACACTGAGGATTTTATGATTTGAAAGGATTGGTAGCAGTGAGTTGGTGAAAGTGTACGAAAAGAATATAGAATATAGAATAATATAGTTATAGTTATATAAATATAGTAATACAGTTATTGTACTTAGCCCATTACAGAGACTATTTGGAGTGATGGCATGAAATTTTGGCTACTTAGGCAATCAAGATCTGTGGGCTCTTGATAATTCTAGTGAAATAAAAAAATGCTTAAACATCTACTCTAATATTTGTATACATTCAGTGAAGTCAATTAAAAGTATTTATGTTGACATGTAAATTCTTAAGGGATAATTATTATTAACCATGCATATATTTTGTCTTAATGACAGTGGGAAATTAATAAAAGTGAATGCCAACATTCTCAACTAATATATGTTGTGATGACCCACTTCTATGGGATTACCTCTTTGAATTTCTTAAAGTCAACACGAAACATAATTCAGTATTTTGTGTTTCACTCTACTTAAAGAGTCTTCTGGTTTAGACACCCCAAATAACTGGAAGAGATAAGCTTGTTGAAAGCCACTTTCATTTTATAAGATGGAATCTCCTACCAAATAATTCTACACTTATCCTAACCTATAATGGGGCACCTGGGTGGCTCAGTCAGTTAAGCATCTGCCTTTGGCTCAGGTCATGATCTCAGGGTCCTGGGATGGAGCCCTACATCCGGCTCTTTGTTCAATGGAAAGCCTGCTTCTCCTTCTGCCTCCCTCTTCCCCCTGCTTATGCTGTCAAATAAATAAATAAAAATTTAAAAACCCCAAATAATCCTACACTTAACAATTTCATTTTACAAATATAGTAAAAAATTCTTATTTCGACTTGTTGACCTGTTAAGTATTGCAGAATAATTTGTATGTAAAAACAACTACATGCTTAAAATGAGACTTTCTCCATGTCTACCTACATAAAACACAATAGAACAAAGGTTTTTTATTTAATGCTGTTTCAATTAAAAAAAACAACTATGGATATTACTTTATATCAAATTTTTAAAAGTGAGGGAAAAATATTCACATACAATATTTAGTTGTAATTACTATCTGCCCTAGTCATACATTTTCCTATCTGTTCTAGATAAGGATAAGTATTCAAAATGACACATAATCTTCCCCATGCCCCATGACAGTGAAGTAATACATTAAAAAAAAAAATCAAGATTCCAAGTGTCAACTGAATGGTAGATTTGTTATTTTAGAATATTCCTGTGTATAAAAAAAGCCCTAACCTATGATAAAAATTTTCATTCATGTTGTTCACTTAACATTTAATTATATTAGGCCTTATATTATTACTTAGGTATTTCACTTCCCACAACTTGTCACCTCAATGAATCGTAATATCAGGGAACATGTTATATTTCCTAAATAACTGGTTAGAAATCTCTAATATTTCTGCTTATTACTTTGTATAATGGTATGTACATTATTGAATAAATGAATAAATAAAAAATAAAAGTTAATTAAAATAGCATTTCTTTACAGTATATTTCTTTGTGATTAGTTTGTAAAACTCCTTAACTTTGAATTAGTCAATTTTTGTTCTTCTCTATGCATAGCACAGGGTATACAACAAATAGATGCCCATATTGAAGTAAATAAATACAAGCAATAGAAAAACCTGTGAAAGTTTCAAATATGCCTTAGAGAAATTAAGAATTCTACATGACGATAATTTTTCTCATAAAGAATAATTAATGGAAAATAAGAAATTTTACCAAAAAATCTCCGAATAAATATCTCCAAAAATAGAAATGCCAGATGCTGGTAAAATAAAAACCTTGGTATAGGATATCATCTTTATTGTTACTGAAAAAGAAAAGTAAATATTGTACATTGTATTCTGAATGAGACATATTTAGGTTCTATCGCAATTTTACATCAGCTGCTGAGTGTTCTGAGCCAAATGCCAGTGCTAGGACTCTAGGCTTTTATACCTGTTTAGATACCCTTTCTCTCTGTCATCTCTCTTCTATTGAGTAGGTAATAATAATTTTTAAATAATTCAGTAATGGGAGAAATAGCTTTATTTTCTTTAAGCAAACTCTCCTCTCTTATACCTCTACTGTCATAATTTAGTTTGATCAGGCACAGAAATGCCATTTTGATTTTAAAATGACTTATGCACTACCAACTCTGACTTCAATATAGTTATTATTCTGAGAAGTAAATAAGTACTTAAATGGAGTATTCTGTGATTGTTTAATACAAACAGTTTGGGAAGCTTTTATCAGATGATAGATTGAATAATATTTGAAAATATTGTCACAGTTAAGATATATTGAGTGGTTACTATGTGTCAGAAATGGTTTGCAGAACTTTACAAGTGACAACTTATATAATTCTCACAACTTTATGAATTAGGAGTTAACACCTCTAGAAGAGGCATCTGAGTCCAGGTCGCTGAAGTAACGTGCCACACAGTTAGGACGTGGTGGATCCAGAACCCCAAACCAGGCTCTCTGGGGACTGAGCCTTGTGCTTGGTACTATCTAGGCAGACTGCCTCTCTATAAAGTCATACTGTTTTAAAGAATGTCAAAGGGGGGGCACCTGAGTGGCTCAAAGGCCTAAGCATCAGACTCTTGATTTAGGCTCAGGTCATGATCTCAGGGTCATCAGATTGAGCCCCTTGTTGGGCTCCGCACTGGGTGTGGAGCCTACTTAAGGTTCTCTCTCTCCTTCTCCCTCCGCCCCTCCCCCCAGCACATGCTCTCTCTCTCTCAAAAAGAAAAAAATATTGAAGGTATTTTTAGAAGCCAGTGAAGAAGCATTGATAGTAGATAGTGGATTTATTGCTTTTGTCATTTCATTTAAATCTAAGAACCTATTTCTCCTATATGACATCTCTGAAACCTCTCCTAGCTTCACCAACACTACTCCATTACAACTAATACATGACAGGGACTGATCACGAACCAGCAGTCTTGGCTTCGATGGAGCCAAGAAAGGAAAAAAAAAAAAAATGGCTTCAGAAAATTTCTAATACATTTCTGCTCCCATACATAAAAAAACAAAAATAAAAAAAAATACATTGTAAACATATACACTAGTTCTAGGAATAGCAATTAGTGCAAGGTGAAATAAAGTTGGAAAACCACTGATATCTGATTTCCACCCATAAATAACTAATGTCAACATAATCTCATCCATCTGTAAAGCCTAGATGAATAGAAAAGCTCATGTTACCATCCACAAGCACACAAATACACTGAGTACAACAAAGCCTTCTTTTTCACATGAGGATTTTCATTCCCTGATCTTTACTCTCAAGGCTTGCTACTTATTAACCACTGGTATGAAAACAGTATTATTTAGGTGGATCCATCCATTTCCTTTGGTTCCAGAGAAAGCCATTCTCATATACCATCTAAAGCAACAACCTGTGCTTCAGTTGAAGACTTGGTTAACCTTCTATCTGCTTCAGTAGTGACAGAAAACAAACACGAATGAGATGCTGGTTCTCATTGGTTTTTAACTCAGATCCCCCTCATTTCCTGTGACATGGTACCATGTGTGCCTGGGAGTGTTGGTCTCACCAGGTATTCCTCATTGAATAACAAAGGGGATAAATACTTCAGGAAGATGAAAAGGAGAAGGGGAAAAAAACAAACAAGCAAACAAAAACCCCTTGGACCTGACATTATGGAAAAAATAAAAAAGACACTAAGATGAAAAAAAAAATAGTGTCATGGTTTACATGTGGGATTTTGATGGAATCTAGGGCTGTGTTTTAATTCAAAACTCACCATCTCAAAACCACTTCTTTTCATCCGCCTGCAGGACTTGAGGTAAGTACGTATACGTTTTCTGGCACGCTCTTGATACTCAGGGAATTGTCGCCTGCATGAGTCAATGATAGCCTGGATCTTTTCTTTGGGCTGCTTAGAGATTGGGACCATTCGGTCCAAGTTTTCATCTACAAACAGCCTGACAAACATCTGTTGGCAAGAGGGAGACAGAGGAGAAGGGTTTGGAGGACTGCTCTCTGCTGTTCCTAGCTTCCTGTCTTGATTACCGATAGGAAAATACTCTTTTCTGCTTTATGCACTGAAGAACTTTGCAATGGAAAGCCAGAAATTTTAAGCAAACACCCTTTAAAGGCTTTCTAAATGACTGGATAAAAAAATAGAGAGAAAAAAGAGAGAGAGGCAGACAGACAGACAGACAGACAGAAAAGTATAGACTATCGTGTAGGAAAAAAAATCAGGAAATAACAGTAGACTGTGACAATTAAGCACCCCATCAAATTCTCCATTAATGATAAATGCGACTGCTACATTGTTATGCTGCACAGTGCACTAATCTCTGAAAACAATGGACTCTTTTGTCATGCATAATTAGGTAAGCCGGGAAGGCAAGAGAAATAACTGAAGATAGGCATACTCTTCCGAGGAAGAAGCGGAGGCCCCCTCATCCACTAGGTAAACATGCATACTCACACAACACAAATCCAGTTTTCAGCTCACATTTGGCTTTAAAATTCTAAACAAAACACAGCAATTCTGGTGTCTGGTTGGCAAAGAGTGTTTCATGTACTTTTTAAATCCTTCTGTAAATTAAACAGACATGTCTCTAGAAGATCCACATTTACCAGCAAGCAACAACATGAAAGTGAAGTGGTAAAAAGTAAGCCACACAGGGAGGGTGGCCGGACTCACATTAAAAGCTTTCAGCCGCTCGGCCTCAACGCCATCTGTCTCGTTCACTTTTTCAGAATCGTCGTGGTCATCGTGGTCATCTTCATCCTCATCTCCCCTGTTTAGAGACAGGTCCTCGGCACCTCGGTCTACACTCTCATTTTTGCCAGAATCGTAGCTTGAGTAGCTATGTGCAGGAGACTGAAAAGAAAGGGGCAAATTGCTGTTTTTAAATTCATCGCAGAGCATATGAATTTTGTTTTTAATTTCAATGGTTTCTCAAAAATCTTGCTGAAAGAAGTTAATCCCAGAGTTGTGGCTATTTTAATTTGAAGCAAAATTAATGAAGTTCAGATGAAAAATTCATCTCCTCAGTCACACCAGTTATATTACAAGTGCTCAATAGCTGCATGGAACATTTCTATCACTGCAGAAAGTTCTACTGGATTTAGCTTTTTGAGAGCAAAGATAGTTTCCACTCAATATACATACTTAAAAAAAAAAAAAAGAAAAATCAACCTGTAATCACCTTTGCGAGAGAATTATTGAATCACATATTCTTAGAAACAGAAATGACCTCAGAGGTTAGTCAATCTAATCGTATCAGTATTTTTTTAAACAGATAAGGAAACTGAGGGGAGGATATATTTAATTGATTTGCCCAACAAGGACTACACAAAATATTGATGCTAGGGGTGCTAATTATAAGACAAAGTCTTGAAAATCAGTTTTTAAATTGTCTGTGAGTCTTAGGATGGCACTGAATTTTGGTCTAGACAAAAGGAACCAGGTTTCCTCTGAATCACGTTAAGCTTAATGCTTCCTAATGCTTAATGGATGATGAATGCCAGCCGACACAGTTCTCACAAACTTCGATAACTGTGTTCAAGACTAACCATGGGTCCTGCAGTGGTATCTCCTACTTCTTTGTCCATACAGCACCTTTGCCTTTCAGAAACAGCCTCTGCTCCCCTAGGTGAGAGTGCCAATCCCTGGGCAGCAACCTTCTCTATTCCAGCTGTGCCCCAACTTTACCTCCGGGTAACTGAAATCAAGTTGAATCCAGCAAGGCTAAGCAGGATAGACTCCTAATAACATCATCTGAGATTATAGATTCAACTGTGCCTGAAATTAATCCGTCAGCTGTGTGATACTCTACCTCTTCTACACCCCATCCCCTTTCATTTTCTCTTTGCTTAAATCTTAAATAACAGTAGACTGTGTCTGGAGTGGTACAGAAATCAATCAGGGTAAGGCCAGATTAACAACCCAAATTTCACATATGAGAACTTAGATACATAGGTGACCTCAGTGAAATGGATAATATCTCTAAACAGCAGCAGCATCCTCAAATCAAAGAAGTAAAATGCTTTTGAAAGAACCTCACAACGGGAAATTTTAAATCAGCAGTGTTCAAAAATGCCTATGTGCGATAACATATGTGTAGTGTGTTGTAAGGGTCACGATAATATATTATTACTGCATAATCAGAGGAAGAATAATAAAAGTAGAATAGACATAAAAAATAAAGTTAAAATTTAAAAAGCAACATATTTTATATTACTGTAATATTATAGTATTTCAAATTATTAGGAAGGTAGATTTACCTTAGAAAATGTAAGGCAAATATTCCGTAGGTTTGAAAAATATATCATATATATATTTTTAATGACAATGTGCAACATTTTAAAAAATGTTACAATACACTGAATGCAAATATGCTGGGCTAATATGTTCTTTCCACATGCCACGTGAAATACACAACCTAGCCGTCTGCTATAAACAGAACCATTTGGAATGACATTGTTTTACACCTCTACTCCCTCTAGATAAAGAAGACCCAGTCTTACAGATCTGGGAATATTGAGAATCTAAATCCAAAACATAATCAATTTTTCCTTCTGTAATATAAACTGAAATTTGTATAACTCTGAATCCAGTTTCTCAGCTGCAGTGTCATTTCCTGCCTCTTTCACTGTTAAAAATACTATTAACTGGCTTTCAAGGCCAATCCAAGTAAATTCAATTTCCACCAAGATTCCCTCTTCTTTCTCAATCTCCTTCAATGTTTCTCTAAACTGTGAAGTCTTTTTTTTTTTTTTTTAGAGATTTTATTTATTTATTTGACAGAGAGAGACACA